CGTGTCTTGTTCTGCTTCGCTGTGCAATAATGGCGCCGGTGAAGAGGAACGACCTGCCGGGCGCTTCTCACCTCCAAACCCCCCGACTACAGCTGAGCGCTGAATCACAAACACTCAGCATCATCATCAACAACAACAACAACAATAAAACCCACCTCGTAACATTTAAATCCAAAGGTCATAAGTCTTCTGTCCAGCCTTAAGGATAAACTCAGCCTATGAGGTGACATAACCCTTTGTCTTTAGGAATGTCTCCTGCTGTATTAGCAAGACAATAAGGAACGTTCAGTAGATATTTCCCTCAGGATAAATAAGAATAAATGTAATCCAATCTTACATTTTTATGATGGATTCTGATGTGGATATTCCTCAGAGGTACATTAGATTCTCAAAGTACTGAAAGCTGAATACGTGGCGTGTGGCGCAGTGGATAGAGCCTTGGTGTTGGGACCAGGGGGTCACAGGTTCAAACCCCACTGCAGTCAGCATGTCGTTGTGTCCCTGAAGACACTTCATCCCAAATCGCTCCTGTGGGGATTGCCCACAGTATTGAGTATGTTAGTCGCTTTGGATAAAAGCGTCTAACAAGTAACATGTAATGTAATATAAAGACTTTCTCTCTGGTCGCAGACACACATGTTAAAGAGGACATATCATTCTAATTTTCAGGTTCATATTATTATGTTGTTCCTCTACTGGAACATGTCTCCATGCTTTAATGTCCAAAAAGCTCTTTACTTTTCTCATACTGCCCGTGCTGCAACACCTCTTTTCACCCTCTGTCTGAAACCAGAGCCCAGTCTGCTCTGATTGGTTAGCTGGCCGGGTCTGTTGTGATTGGTCGCTTTGAGATGTCCCACCCCTTAGCCTATCGCGTACAATGTGTCTGAGTGATGTCACTATGTTCCGGAAGTAAACAAAGGAGTTCAATGGAGGTGTTTCAGGCAGGGGGGAGTATGTGGGAGAGAACACAGTGATGTTAGCCTTTGCAGACCATTTACATGCACACAAACCTATATAACACACTATGGGAAAGGGTAAACCCCAGAAAGCACAAAAGGTCCTCTCTAAGAGCTGCATGATAAACAGCTTGTTGGAAGGAGAAGACGATCACAGGTGGAAACTGTGTGATGTATGACTGGATTTGATTCTCCACACTGGCTGAATGTTAAGACAGAAAAACTCTATCTTGAAAGGAGAATTGAACCCAGACAAAACAGAGTCTTCAAAAGGTTTGAATGGATGAAATAGTTTGGACAGGATATTTTATCTAAAGAGGTCAGCCCTCTTGTTGAATTCTTTGAAGTGCCTATTGTGAAAAGCAAGAATTTACTTTGCTGTCAGAGATGTTTTTGAAGTGCTGTTCAAGCGTGACAGTGGTTCTCTTCAATACTTTAACTTTTTGATGTGGCAACAACTTGGATGTGGACTTTTATCGCAAGTCATACTGCAACAACAAGATAACTCCTAAAAAAAGGATTTAACTCACAGGGGAAACAAGATTCAGGAAGTCAATGCACCCACCATTACGTAAACAAAGGAGATATAACACATTAAGTAGGATTTCTACCTTTGGCCAAAGCCTGGCTAGCTGAATTCCTCTGTTTTATGCCAAGCTAAGCTAACCTACTGCTGGTTGTAGCTGATATTTAGCCATTAGAGGATTTAAAAAGTTCTTTATTTATTGTTTTACTGCTGATCTGTTGCAGAACATTGCAAACATTTTCCCCATAATTAATCTCAAATAGGAATTTCTTCTTGAGAAACATAAAGCAATAACTGACCTTTAGAGTGGCATTAAAGCAGGGGTGGGGAACCTTTTTCCTCTCAAGGGCCATTTCAATGTTTTCAACATCCTCCGAGGGCCGTACAAATTATTGACCTCTGCTTAAAAATACTAAAATCACAGCCCATTCATTTCACCTTTCTTTCATGCTGTGCAAAGAAAAAGCAACCTCTGAATCCAGATATCTCACCATGCACATGCACGGTTGTAGCATGCCCACCAAAACAGAAAGATATGGACACAAGATGTGTGCAAATGTATTTAGTTTCCTATCCATGTGAACATTATTTAAGTGGGGGGGACCTAACCTCCTCTAGGGGGGTCCGGGGGCATGCTCCCCCGGGAAGATTTGTTTTTAAATGTTCTTTACATCTGGTGCACTTTGAGAGCAACATTAGATCTATGAATCATACATCTCTCAACACCCATATGAAACATAACTGTAAGCAGATTTTCTTTTTCTTTATGGATATTTTACAAATCACTCCCCTTTCAAACTGTATTCTTGTTTATTAATAACAACTTTTTTGTTACTGTCATATAGTATTTTATACCTGTTTACTTTATTCTCTTATTTTTTATAACTAAAATGATCATATAAGATGTGCCTTTACCTCACTGGTTGTAGAAAAAGCTTCTTATATTCGTTAGCATAGCTAGCTAACCAGATGCTAATAACAACAAAGTTATTGACTGTATGATCAGTATCACACATGTGTACGGCTCCTTATGGGTACTGCAATTTTTGGAAGTCCCGGAGCGGAGCTGCGTTCTGGTGCTCCCCGAACTACACCCCTGTCAGACGAGACATATACCACGTGACGACACGTTAGGCTTGTGTTGTGTTCAAGGACCCTGACCTTGGCCAGGAAAAACAGGCACTCACTTGTTTAATTATTTTGCGGTCTAGATTTCTTTAATTTTTTTCTTTTTTGCGTGTGTTTATAAATTACCTCGAGGGCCACACCAAATGGTCTCGCGGGCCGTATACGGCCCGGGGGCCGGAGGTTCCCCACCCCTGCATTAAAGAATACTTTTTTTTTAACACCGATTAAAGAAAATGCCACTGTGAAAACAATGTGGCTTGCAGTCATTAACCTCCAGAGAATGATCAGCTCATTCTGCATCAGACAGACGCAGGTAAAGATTCATTTGTGAACATAGTGAAACCTTTAGCAGCTGAAAAGACAGATATTTCCTTCAGGAGCTGGTGGAGCTAAAAGAGAGTGAAAAACTGGACTTCATTTAATCAGGTGGACACACACCACTCCTAATGAACGATCGTGTGATTTGTAACTGCTGTAAATGGATATAAGTTCAAAATACCATTTAAAAAGGTGATGATATGTTGATTTTTTTTTTGTGTTTACCTTTTTTTTTTTTCAGTATTTAGTAGTTCACTGAGTCTCTGTAGGCTGTAAAGTTTGTGTTTTGACATTTGAATGCAGCACGGAGAGTCTGTGAGAATTGGAGCAGCAGTGAGATGCTTTGTGTTTATATCAGAAGCAACCGAACAGCGGTTGTTGAACATTAGCAGTTCTCTCACGTTCTGCGTTCCTCTGTTCTCATCACCCCTGAGAGGGAGAACCGTCCGTCTGCTTCACCCACACGATCCAATTTCAGCAGGTCAGGAGCTCCCTGATTGGCTCAGGGCTCAACATACTGATGACATCGCTAAGGGGGAAAACCTCGCCGTCGCCGCCTCTCGCTGTTGCAGCAAGATAAAGATACTGAGACTCAGCAGAGGTCACATGTAGCTGATGCTCCTCACACACCGTTATTGTTAGTTCACGTCTTTTATCTGAACACACAGCCATTTACAACCCATCAGCTCTAATATAACCTTCACACCTGGAGTGACGGTGTTAAATGGCTGGTGTAGCTTCAGAATAAAGGGCTACACCAATGATTTATATGTTGGAGCAGTAGTTCTCCACCTGTTCTGTCTGTCGGATCCTCACAGCAGTAATAGTTACCCTCCATCAACTGCAGCTGGTCTTCAAACAAGCAACCTGCCTATGCAGAGAAATCTTTTTACTTAATAAGGTTTTCTTAAATTAAAGACCTTTGCAGACATTTTTAAAGCATTTTCTTCATGCTTTTATATGCATTTTGAAACGTGTTTTGGAACATTTTGTGAATATGCAGAATTCAAGTTTTACGCGATAAAAAGCGATGTTATTTTTCAAGGAACAGAGTAGATTTATGTTGCGTTTTTTTGCACGAGGAAGAAATGCACAAACTGGTTGAGTTCTGCCAATATTGAATATAACACAACACGCCCAAAAAAGGGGTCTGAACCGAGACAGCTTACGTATTACTCCCTTTAACTTAACAAAGGCCCACAGACTACAACCACTCCTCCAGTTTTCTCCTTTGTCAGATAAAAGGCCTGGACATATTAAAGTATATTCGCTGGGGAGTAATTTGCCCCCATTGTGTGAAAGCCTAATTACATTACGTTGCATTTAGCTGACCCTTGTATCCAAAGCGACTTACAATAAGTGCATTCGACCAAGAAGATACAAACTTGAAGATAACAGAATCATTTAAGTACATTAGGTTTCATAGAGCCAAACCATTTTATATAAGATAAGCCAGCCCTTTGTTAGTATACGAGTCCTTTGTTAGTATGTAAGTGCTTAGTTAGTATCTAAGTGCTTAGTTAGTTCCTAATGTCAGTATGTCCAGCTCCATGAAGTCTTAACAGAATCATTTAAGTGCAGCAGTAAGTTCAATGACAAGCCAATAATACTAAATACTTTGGGATTGAATGATTGAGTTATTATTGTTAATAGATACCAAAACTCCCCACAGGCAGAACCTATACACTATCCAGAATAACTCTGTTTGAATGTATGACTTTGAGGTTTTGAGTTAAACTCTGGTAGATTGGTACGCCCACTGCTTTGTGCTATCTAGAAAAATATATCTTATCAGCTATGAAATGGATTAGCATGACATTTGGTTAATTTCATCACTTTTTCAGGCCACACACTTATTTGGGACTTCTGTTTGGAGGTTGAGTCCCATCTCTCCTCAATCCAAGATCTAAATGGTCACAGAAGTCCTTCCTGTAACATTTTGATCATTTTTTCTGATCATTTCCTGTCTTTTCACAGATCGTCTTCCGGAAGATCAGTGATGTGAAACGTGAGGAGGAGGATATGTTGAAGAGGAAGAACGAGGCTCCTCTGAACCTCCCTCCTGATCATCCGGTGCGACGTCTCTTCCAGCGTTTCCGTCAGCAGAGGGAGGCGCGGCTGGCCATGGAGCAGGGAGATCAGGTGGGTCGGCGATGTGGAGAAAGGAGTCGTTCCCCTGGCAAAGCCTCGAGGTCCGGTGGTCCTGGCCTCCACCAGTATAGTCATGTTGACGGAGAGCCCAGCGACCCCCACCACCTCCTCAACATCCCTCGCTTCCTCTTCATCCAGAACCTCCAGTCGAGTCATGCTCCACGCTCCCGCCGCCCAGAACGGAAACATAATCGGCTGCAAATCTGCAGAGCCGGCCAAAGCGAAAGGCTGGGGACGATTCAAAGAGTCGGTCGCCAAGGCCGAGTCGTGGAGCAGCGTCTCTAAAGCCGAGTCCATGGAGACGCTGCCCGACAGAACTAAGTCTCAGGACCAGTTATCCCTGAAGAAAACAGACTCCTGTGACAGCGGCATCACGAAGAGCGACCTCCGATTGGACAATGCGGACGATGTCAGAACGCCGCAGGAGCAAAGTCCAGTCCAGGCTGAGGAAAAGAGGGTCTTCTGTCCGATACCGGAGCAGAGCATTCAAGCCCCTTTCCTGGAGCTGAAGCAGGAGTTAAGAGGCGACATCAGATCTTTGAACAGTCGCATGGCAGGGCTGGAGACTCAGCTGGCGGAGATGTTGCGACTCCTCAAGTCCAGGAAGTCGTCCGGTTCCTTCTTTGAGATCTCGCGGCCTCCTTCCCCTGACTCAGATAAGGATAGCTACTCCTAAACTGGACTAGAGTCAGTTGTTGGAATGGAACTCCCATTGGTTTCAGATGTCAGAGAAGAGCTTCTGACTGAAGTGTGAGGCTGTGCTGATGGTGGACAACGATGCTAACACACAAAAGCACTTTATGCGTTCGTAGCATTACTCGGCGAGATGACAATGACGTCAAACTGGAATGAGGATTGCTGATTTAACTTTGATCAAAGACTAACGGAAGAGTCATGATGGCACCTTTTGTCCTCAGGAGGGTTTACACCTTCATATGATTATGGCAATAATAAGAGATGGCTTTAACATTGTTGTTTTGAACAGGACTTTGGCACTGTGATGATGGAAACCGTGTTTTAAAGGTTAATTTGGTTTCTTGGAGGTCTGATCCACAAAGTCTGTTTGGCTGTTTAGCATTTTAAGAAAGTTAACACACTTCAAAATGAAAGGGGTGCATTCAAAGACAATCAAGTAGACATATCTCTGTGATTAATGTGGGACATATGGGTCCAAAACCTGGAAAACTGACAAAAAGAAGATTATGATACATTAGCCGCTTTCACACCAAGTACTTTGCCGTACTTAGTTCCCAGTACTTAGTCCCGCCGAAATCTTTAGTCCCGTAACTGTCCTAGTAAATCGCGTTCACACCGGAATAAGTCCCTGAGGGAGGATTAGGCAAATGAAGCTGCTGACGTCACTTCTTCTTCTTCTGCTTTGGGTTTACTGGCAGGCCGCAAACAATTTCACGGCGTATACTGCCACCCGAAGTCTTCCGGACTTTGGGTGGCAGTAAATCGCCACCCGAAGCCCCGGGTAAATCGCCAGAAGCGCTGACACCTCATCACTCCTCCGCTCCCACGATTTATTTTGTGTTGCCATAAGTTAGTCTCTCTTCGTTGGTGCGCTGGGCTAATGCTAATAATGCTAATGCGAGCAAATAAAATGGCGGCTTCACAAAACTTTTCAGAGTTTTACGAGGCGTGGTTTGCAATTCGCCCAGCCAATCAGACATAGGAACCTTTTCCTCCCCAGGAAAGTACCACCTCTCTAGCAGGGACTGAAAAGGGGGGAAAAGGTTCCCATGAACTAAGTTCTAGTTTCAGATTTCTTTGGTGTGAACGCAAAATCCCAAGAACTATCGGAACTATTCCTGGGAAAAGTACTCCGGTGTGAAAGCGCCTATTGTGGATCAGACAATGTTTTGGTTTGGGGGGATTTATTACAGTTAAAGGGGCAGAATGTCCCTATCTTCATGCAGACTAAACACTGTGTGAACAGATTTCAGTAAGAAGTATTTCATGCTTGAGACGGGTAGCGTTTTTATATCTAGAATGAATGTGAAAACATTTGATGCAGCACAGTGACAATGAGACCCTAAATGTGTCTAATGTTTAAATCCTGCACATTACTCATTAGTTTCTTTTTGTTTTTTTCATGTTAAATTCACCTCTGAAAGGAGCTCAAGGGGTTAACACAATCAAATTCAAGTTTACTTTATTATAAAAGCTTCTTTACTGTAACATTAAAATGCTTTAAGATAAGAGATTCAGCCTGAAGTCAACACACTGGAGATAATAGTACAAAATTATAATAAGCCCTTAAATTATTATGACCAGTTTCCAGATTGACAGAGCGGTCAATAATAAACCTGAAGTGCAGATTTCTGTCACATTTATATTGTTCTTTCCTGCTTTTCTATCATTCCCTTCTATGTGGTTAAAGCTTCACTTGAGCACCACAACACCTGTGTGTATACGCTTTAGTTGTAGTTGTCTCCCACAGGATGAAAAGTGTTTGGGTTCCCTGCTCGTCATCGACGTCTGGAGACTGAAAAATGACCGATATTGGCCAAAAAGGATGAAGCTGAGGTAGCGAATATCATGCCTGAGAGACCTGTCCATCAAGGTAAACATATTTAAATCTTAACATTTACTTTAAGGCACATTCATTATGAAATTAGAAAAATCAAGTTATCTTAAGAAAATAACCTTTTGGTCAAGAACGTTTGAGGTTTTCCAATTTACTTAAAATACAATTGGTGTTTCTCAGCAAGTGTCTAATTTAAGATCTCAACCAACGTAAACATTGACGTTTGTGTTCAGTGAAAGTTATCAAGTCAATTCACTTAAAACGGTTCACCCCCTTATCTATTCTTGACATGATGCAATTGCAAATGTAATCCAATCATTTTGATAATGTAGAATGAATCCTGTATAAAATGTTCTGCAACGTTAAGTTGAGTATCATCTGCATACATGATGATAAACTGGAAGTTACCTTATCCACTGATTCTGAATCCAATGCGTTCTTCCTACGTGGAGGAAATGTAAGCTGTCATTATGTCGCCACCTGAGAAGAGAGAGGATGTGCGTTTGTCTCTGGTATCGCGTATTTCCTGTGTAGGTGTAATTATAATATAGCGTCATAATATGCAATGATTGCCTATGGTGTTTGTACTGAGAGACTGGTTGTGGTACTTTGCGTATCTCACGTTGTCCCACGAGCACCGCCAGTATCGGCACTGATGCACTTTGGTCTTTTCTGCATGACGCTATTGTCTAAAACGTTTTGTTAAAATAAGACAAAAAACCAAGATGTCTTTGCCTTGGTACTTCAGTATCTTGGAGGACTTGTGTTCTCACTAAACATCGATACTGCTGTCGGTCCCTTGTATGTAACGACCACAGTCTGTGCATGAAAAGCGCTTTAATGTTAAAATGTCTTTATCAATGTCACGTATGCACTGTGCTGACAACTCACAATGTGAAGGAAACCGCTTGAGGGAAAACTGTGTAGTAACCACAGATATATTCTTATTTCTGTTCGTCACTGTCAGGAAGGAAAACTGTATCATCAGCACAAAGAGTATTTCTAAGAAAATCACGTCAAATGTTAATAAATTATTTCATACTTTGTACTTTTTCTATCTTTGTTTGCTGTATTCTGTTTGTCCGTTATAAGCGCACATCTGACTTCTCGTTTAGACATCAAACCACTTTCCTTGAACGATACAACACAATTCGTAACACCTAAAAAAACAGTACAGGTTAAGGCGGTTAAAGCTACTTTGTTAAATTCATAGTCATTATTTAAAAAAAGCAAAACACCTGTTGTTGGTAGAGATATGGTGCTTTGTGTCAAAGACAGACGCTTTGTCCCAAAACCATCCGCCCCAACTCCCCCCCAAAACAGAAAGCACACGTTAAAGGACGTTATTGAATAAACCAAGTATTAAGTGTCAAAGACAGCAAATACAAACGATAGAATTAATGGATAAAAACATATATAAATAAATCTACATCCAATAATCCGACATGTGAATTTTCCATTTCCATAATCCTGTCACATTTTTCACAATAGATCCTCAAGGTCACAGCTGGTTAGTTCCCAAATTGATGAAGGAATATTCTTTATATTCTATAAAAGGTATCATGTTGAGAGTTTAGTCCGTTTCATCTCGTCTGTTTTTCATCTGCATGTCATTTTGTATCAGAACTCGTGTCGCTGCTTCTCTTTCTGGATCTTTTCCAAGCCGACAGGGAATCCCTAAATTTCCCCCTCTCTGCAGAGCTGGCAGATCCCTCTACACCTCCCTCCCTCCCTCCCTCCTCCCTCCCTCCTCCCTCCCTCCTCTCTCCTCCCTCTACACCTCCCTCCCTCCTCCCTCTACACCTCCCTCCCTCCTCTCTCCTCCCTCTACACCTCCCTCCCTCCCTCCTCTCTCCTCCCTCTACACCTCCCTCCTCCCTTCTCTCTCCCCCTCCCTCCTCTCTCCTCCCTCCTCTCTCCTCCCTCCTCCCTCCCTCTCTCTCCTCCCTCCCTCCTCTCTCCTCCCTCCTCTCTCTCCTCCCTCCCTCCCTCCTCTCTCCTCCCTCCTCTCCTCCTCCCTCCTCTTTCTCCTCCCTCCCTCTCTCTCCTACCTCCCTCCCTCCTCTCTCCTCCCTCCTCTCTCCTCTCTCCTCCCTCCTCTCTCTCCTCCCTCCTCTCTCTCCTACCTCCCTCCCTCCTCTCTCCTCCCTCCTCTCTCTCCTCCCTCCCTCCCTCCTCTCTCCTCCCTCCTCTCCTTCCTCCTCCTCCTCATTTAATGTTCTGCATTGCAGTGCCAGCCCTCCTCCCTCCCTCCACTCCTCTCCTCCTCCTCCTCCTCATCCTCCAGGTTGATCTCTGCAGCAGTGAACAGCAGGGCTATCCTCTCAGCCTGACACTAAACATGCCTGCACAGCCTCCTCCTCCTCCTCTTCCTCTTCCTCTGCATCTCTCTGTGTTTTCTTGAAGCCACAGCACCCTCTACAGAGCAGACACACACATCACAGTCCGCTGAAGGATTTATCTTATCTTCAATTTCATATTTTTTATGAATGAATGAAAAAACACAAACATACTGCGTTTCATTAGGCGCCAGCATTAACAGCCAAGTGCAGAAGAAGCTATATCATCATGTTTCGGAAAGAAAACTGTAAATAAGAATGATCTTGACTTTTGAAAATACATATATATCCGTGATATAGTCATTTAAACCCGTCTCTATATGTGAACACTGCTCCAGCTTCTGCACCTATCTGTAGATCATGTACTTAAGTCCTGTGCTAAACTTTGTTCTTCTATTATTTTAAAGTAACAGTTGTTAATACAGATTTTACTAACTAAACATCATTTTTTAATATTATATATTTTAAAATGACACTACCTAACCATCCTGACGTACAAATATCTCTCAGTTGACCAACACTACTATTACCATATACTATTGCAAATACTACTCATATTCCTAGATAATGATTACTTGTGTACATTTACTTCTGGTACAGTAGGCTGCTTTAACTTCATAAAGCTGATAATACTTATCAAATACTTTACTTTAAGTCAGCGGTTATAAAGATTTGCTGCATTCTCCCTGCGGAAAAATGTATCTTTCGCCTTCAATATTCATAACTTATTTATTGATTATATTTTATATCAGTCGGCTGAACCTGTACATTCACAAGTAAGTGAAGTGAACACAATTAATTAAATTAGTTAAATCATTTACTAACTAACATATTAGTGGACTACAGTAAAGTACAATAGTTTAGTTAATATAGTTTAGTTAATTAGAAGAAAGTAAAAAAAAAAAATTCTCTCAAAATGGTACTGTTTCTAAATACCTTACTGTAGGTATTTAAAGTTAAAGTTATTAGTATTGTCACTTTATTGATTCATTCTGCTACATCTATAAATAAGTCAAGATTTAAAAAAGAAATAAACAAGAGGGAAGAAAGGTTTGATATTTGGAAACTTATAGAAGATTGAACTTTCTCAGAGGTTCTTTAAGGAAGCAGAACTTAGTTAGAACAATTGTATATATTCAGTGAAAGTGTAGATGAAGCGAAACTTCATCAAACATCTTCCACCATCACCACCACCTTTTTATACCGGTCAGTGCCTGGCGTCATGGCAACAGGTGCAGGCTGCTCCCTGATTGGCTGTGTGTCCTGGGATCACCCGTTGCCGTTCGCAGTGAGAAGTGCTGAGTGGACCCTCCTTTTTTAAAGGCCCGGCCGCTGCATGGCCTCCTATTATTGAGCAGATTTGTTTTTGCGTCCGGGCTGAAGCTTCTAGTGCGAGAGGAAAAAAGTGCAGCGGGGATCATATATGTGCCTCAGCAGGGACGCCGGGGGCATAACCTAACAAATGTGTGGGGTCAATTGGTAAGGACTGCTTTCTGTTGTGTTCCTGAGGTAGGGAGTGGAGGTAGAGGACTGCTAAGTTGTGAGCCGAGGTGATGGAGAGCGTGGATGTGGATAGCATCGACTGGGACTCCATGTTGAAACTTTTTAAAGGTGTTCACTCCATATTTGTTTAGAGCCTCACAGTGAGAACCTGGACTCTTGATGAATTTAAGGCAAGTGGTTTGGTTTGTCGGTGGTGTTAAAGTTTCTCTACGGCTCTGAAAAACAACTTAGTAGTACCTCTATTCTCTGATGTTTGTAATAAATGTGTTATTTAGATTACTTAGTTTTGGGATGAATGGTTCTTTGCCTGCTGATCGGACAGAAGGGACGATTGTGACGTTGCTGATGATGATCTGCCAGCTTTTTGTTAGGTGACTCAGAAATTAGGAGTGAGCGCCGCTCGATGTAGCTGCTACAGGCCCGACGGACCAGGACAATGTCAAAGTTACCGGGTTCCTCTGGTTCTAAGGACGTCGGCGAGCGGTCAGTAACAGAAAGAAACAAAGATGGCTGCTGTGGAGGAGGTGGGGTTAGGGTTAAGTAGGGAGAACTGATAGCATAGAGAACTTGACATGACAAGCATCACGGGGTAGAACAGGAAAGTAGGATGTTGGGATTTTTGATGAGAAGGTAAGTTACTGCTTTTATTCAATAGAGAGGATTTCTCAAAAAGGAAACTACCATGGAAAGTGAGGACCAGAATGAAAAGAATAAAGCAAGTCTAACTGTGAAAGGTCAAAGAGAGGTCAACAGGGCGCCAAAGAAACCCAAACCTGAAGAGGATTTAAAGATGGCCGCTCACAAGAAAAAGTCAATTTAAAGTGAAGATGCACAGGAGAAGTTGAGGAGAAGACAAAGCCACTGGAGACAATCACATGAGGATTAGGAACAGGATGAGGGTGAAAGGGGGGGTCAGGGTGGGGGGGTTGGCAGGGTCAGCTACACAAACCATTTGTCCCTCGGTACATTAAACATCGAGCCCCGCAGGCGACAACAATGGCGTCAGCAAGGCCGCTCCGCGTCTACACGTTGCTAGATTTCTCTCTGGCTGGGTGCAGTGTGCTCGAACAGCACAAAGGTTTATCGTGCTCAGCAGGTCTCAGCTCGTATAAAAACACAAAGGTCGCAGCTGCTGCAGCGGCCGGCTTTTTAGAAAAAGGGCTGTTTGTGGAGAATGTGACGTTTCTGAAGGAGGCTGAACGCTTTTGCTATGGTGCTTCGGTGAGGAGAGTTACTGGTTGAGGTACTGTCCTGCTTTCTAATCCGGGCTCATCGGAAAAAAGAGCGTGTGGAGGTGGTGTGATTGGTCGGGTGGATCTTCGGTCATATGGCGTGGAATCCCGGAGTTAAAAGATGACAGATGTTGTGACGCGAACAGAACGTCACGACTACGATTTAATTTTAATTACGTTTGTAAATGTAAATATCAGCATTTCCTGTAGTCGCTCTGGATTTTCTTTGTTTAAATAAAATCTCTCTAAGGGTGTTTTGAGAACGAAATGCCTCTTGCAAGGTCAAAAGTATTTTTTGTATTCGCCCCATGATCTGGATCTGCTCCAAAAGTCACTAAAGTTCTTTAGTGGCTCTTCCACAAAGTTTGAAGAACATCTCATCGGTGGTTTTTCCGTAATCCTGCTGACAAACAAACCAAACAGAAAATATGGTTCCCCTTTGTTTTACTCCTCCCTAATTCCTAATTGTCCGTGCACAAAAAGCAACAACAGCAAATGCTGAAGTTTTCAAAAATCTCCGTCCGGCGGCTTGGCCTAATATATTGGTTGTTTCTGCTTTCGCTCGTTTAGTTCAAAACATGTATTGTCTTGAACAGACTTAGGCAGCTGGGGGAGTTTGTTGATGTCCGTTGGCTCACTGGCTGCAGAGATGATGTGGTTGCTCAAATATCAGTTTTGATGTTGTTTGTTTTGTTAAGAAGCACAAGGCATTGATTCTGTAAGGCAAGGCAAGTTTATTTATATAGCACCTTTCAACACAAGGCAATTCAAAGTGCTTTACAAAAAATGAAAGACATTAAAAAAAAAGGCATTTAAAATCAGTCATTAAAAAGAAAAGCTAATAAAATAAACATTAAAAGAAAAAATACATGGATAAAAGTTACAGTGCAGTTTAAGATATGAATAGTTCAATTAAAAGCAGCGACAAAAAGAAAAGTCTTCAGCCTGGATTTAAAAGTAGTCAGAGTTGCAGCGGACCTGCAGGTTTCTGGGAGTTTGTTCCAGATATTTGGAGCATAATAACTGAACGGAAACTGTAAGGTGAACATTCACATGAAACTGTGAATGTAGACTTTAGACTATAAACTTACATTGAGGTTTTAGTTCTTTGTCAGACTACATGTGTGCTAAAAGTAATTATATGAAGTTAATCATTCAATGTTCGCCATAGTCTTAGTTTAGCATATTTTCAAGCTAACTTTAGCTCATTAGCAAAAAACGACAAAGTCTAGCTCGGCTAATTTCATCAGTTCTTGAGGTACTTGGTCATAAACTAGTATTCGAAAGTATTCGAAAAATGTTGAAAGGGCGACAAGAAAAGTCAACAGATATTGTCAAGGACAGTAAACGTCACCATGCCAGTCTGTCTTTAGTTTAGCTGTGGGGACGTGAAGCAACGACTGCAGTAGCATAACGTTAGCTTTTACTTGTGGCGAGTGCATTTACCCTTCAAAAATCATAAGTAGTGTTAACTTGCAAGGATTCTCTTTCAATACTTAATTCATAAATGTATCCACAGAGCTAATTTGCAATAATCCAATATGCAAAATCCTATTGGCTTTTTTTTTAGGGATCCAGCGTGATGCTAACTTCCCGGTTGGCCTACGAAATTATGTTACCCCTGCACCACTCTGTTATCTGTATGGTGAATAGCTAGTACACAGAGAGTATTAAACCCTCCTGGTTCTGTGGGTGTCCCGGCTTTACAGGATTTCTGTTGTTCATACAGGTTTCCCAAGGGGACGCTACTGAGAAGCTGGCTCACCAAGTCGCGGCCCAGGTTGCTGCTGCTCATCGCAGGGTTGAAGAGGCCTCAGGTGACCCTCATGAGGAGGAAAAGGATGAAGCGCACAAAAGTAGCAAAGGCCACGTAAGCGGTAAATATGGCTTATGTTGCATGGAGGAATGCTGAACCCCATCATCAACAAAAACCCAGGAAGTCGATAGGGTTAACTGAAGCAGTGACCTTAGAAGTTCACTCTGTCACCTTTGAGTTTCTTAAAGTGTTCATCTTACCTGAGGCTTTACAAAAGCTCAATAATGAGGGAACAATTTTGGATGTGGACAAAAAGTCATAAGCATAGAACAAGCTCAGTTTACAAAAATGCCTGTGTGCGTGTAAATTAATTTGAAAGAAGATGGTCCTATGAGTCAATCCTAACTAGAGTGATGTTAATGAGCTGTTATTGATGCAGAGAGGACATATTGCTTAAGTATATAGGTATGAAATGTCTGCTGGTAATGGCATACATACGTTATTTTTGGTAGGCAGTACACAGAACGTTAAAACAAGACATAAACACAGCCCTAAGGTAGACTTTTAGGTACTGCTTCAGTCCATAACAACTGTTGAACAAGTTGTCTTATATTCAGGCTAGTCTAGTCTTGGGTTTAACTTGCCTATAATGACCTGAAACATGAGACAGGATGCATTGCCCAACACCAAATGTTAACAGTGTTCTAGTTGCCTAAGCATAACCTCACACCACAATCAGCTAGAAGAGTTAAGATTTAATTTGAAAAATGCATTATTTTTCGTGGTTTTCATGGGGTTTTGTGTTCAGCTTGTGGTTGCTAAGAAAGATGTTCAGCTCTGAAATCATGAACATTTCCCAAAGAAGTTAATCTTTTTCCATACATCTTTTTCTCCGTCTGCTTCTTTTCTCATCTCAGTAAAAGTAAACAAAGAAAACAGTCTAAGTGAAAAGACTAACCTCTTTGTGGTCCATCAAAAACCCAACGTTCCCTCTCTTCCAGAACCTGCAGTCGGATGCCGCACTTCACTTGAGACCTTTGAGGGGAGGGTCTGCTCGTTAGATATGGAAGACAAAGAAGAGGAAGACCTGTGTGTTGGATCTTTGCCCCAGCAACAAACTATAATCCAGGGATCACAAAACAGGGTGAAGCAAGAGGACGAACCACAGAGATTGAGACCCCCAGATTAATCCGGATTACACCCACAACCTGGACTACAACTTCACCCCCCATTAAAATATGCATCTGTTTTGGCTCATTAGACTGTAATGACTGTAGCTTGTACTTCATTCCTATCCAAAGACAGACTGTCCCTGTGTTTTTAGTTCAGCCTGTTTCAGCTTTCCAGGTCCATGTGTCTTAGTCTCAGAAAAGACCTGCTGCTGATTGAAGTCTGACGAGACGCTCACTGCTGCCTCACATTATTCGGTCAGATAATAAGTTAACAAGTAGCTTTAACTATGGATGTTTGATGAGAACTGGATACGGCGCTGTCGCTCAACCTTGGTTACACGTTTTCCCACTGGCCACTTGTGGAGTTGAAAGGACACCTTGCTTTGCAAACAAGGTCTTTCTCTTGTGGATTTTTCAATGCATGGAGGTTTTATATTTCTGGATCAAGCAGAAAGAAGCCATTTTAAAATCTTCAATGTTTCACAATGTAAAGTCTCCGGGAAGACCAAAAACTTGCGGGAAGTGACAGCGGGACCACATTTCACAAAAGTAAACTCAGAAGCTAAAAGAACTATTTTGGCGTACGCAAAATGCCTTTCATCTTTTGGTCCGTTATCCAGTTCTTATACATCTATTACCTTCAAACAATACGAAAGCATCACATGACATACACCACAAACTGTGGACGTTTTATCGTTCAATTGTTGCCGGTATTAACATTTGTAATGCAGAAATTCAGACACTGTAATGAGAAAATAAGGTTGCTAATCGCACCAATCACGATTAAAAAAGTTGATTTGCTGTTGTTGCTGGACATCCACTCGAGGAACGTTAATTGACTTAGAAGTCACATGTGCAAACTGGAGCTTCTAGGTATTAGACAAACTTAATGTGTTTTTTTTTTCATTTTATTTTTCATAAAGTTGGTAGAATACATTTTGGAACGAACCGCTTATTTTGTGTGCGTTTGTCAGTACATTGTGAAACCATGGAGAGTCTGGAGAAATCAGCTTCATGTGGGAGGTTTGAACCTCGCTTTGCCAAATAGATCATATTTTCTTAGCAGCCTCAGGAAATGGAATTTTCAGCAGCTACCAATGTTGGGAAATTGAAATGGCATCCAGCCAAAAATGTCCTTTTACTAGTATTTGACAAAGAATTGTGTTGGTTGAGAGAGGTCCTAGTTAATCACCATATCAGATACTGGAACGTCATCCATGGGAACATCTTTATAAAGAACTGGGGCTTAATGGTGTGCTTAAAACTAGTTTGATTTATTTGAAGCATTTAATAAAATGGAAACGCATTTTTCTTTTGACCAAGTCAAGCCGTCAGTCTCATTTTGTTCAACACCACCCGAGTGTTTCAATGAATTACCCACATTCAATACATTCTGGGGTTTTACAATCAGCTAACTGAACTTTTCTGGTGTTGATGCCACTACTGGCTCTGAGTGTATCTGACCAGTGAGAAAAGCAATCGTCTGTACTTTTCTTCAGTTTTAAATGTCTCCAGATCGCCACTCTTGAGGTGTTCGTCTAGTGTTGTCATGGTAGCTGTATGGCAGTCATATGGTAGAAGTAATACTCACTTGCCTATTGATTCACAAACTAATAACACATTCAGCATGTTGAGCTGAAGCAGTAAAAACAAACATCTCAACTTATCTGATGAATCTCTATTTCAGGCTTTTTCAATCCTTAACTTCCGTCAAAGCGAACCGTGTCTTTGTTAACCATTTCGACCTGCTGTAAAAAAAAAAGTGATTTTCAAAAATAAACTACAGACTTAATTTGAAGTGTCACTGAATATTTGTATTGGTTTAGGATACAATAAAGATCCACCAGCACATTCAGAAGGTTCTGGATATCATGACAATTGGCTGTTGAAAAGTCATAGCATGATGAAAATGTCATGAAAAAAGTTAAAGTATTTTATATATATATATATATATATATATATATATATATAACATGAAGTGACCTAATTAAAAGGATTTGTTTACTAAAATAAAGAAACATGATTGTACCTATAACCAATGTTAATGCACCGACTCAGTCATAACAGTATAAGGCAGGGGTACTGCAGTAAACTCAGGGCTGGTATGTTAGAATAGTAGTCAGTTATTGTTAATAAAATACATGTTTTTTGTCAAAATCCACAGAATCATGTTAGACTTTTGTTCGTAGAGAAATCCTCCGCCTGATTGGCTGATCTGACTCGTAGCAGATGATGTAGTGACTGTGCTTTCATGAGGAAAAAAACAATGCATCTGTGTCATCAAAATGTACTTCTCTATTTATTAATTACATTTCATAATTAAATAAATTAACTTCATTTACAGTATATTACAAATAACATTTTCTTCATACATGATGGCCTTTTAAATTAAACCATTGTCAGAGTCCTTGTGTTTTTAGGAGAGTGCATCAGCTTCTACTTTGCAGTGAGTTTCTGTTGGATGTTTCTGTATCTCAGAAGCTCCTCCTCGGAAACTGACGGCTTGAAGTTTTCCAACGCTGAAGAGAAATCCTCAACGGTGACGAGGACAGGAGATTCCTCCGAGTCCAGACCTGAGAGACAGGAGAGACAGGGACATTACAAGCTAAGACAAACTGTGGTGCTTTATGACAACCACACACAGGACTGATGCTTAGAAAATGTTTAAGTCCACTTCCTGTTGGACGTGGGTTTTTAGTTCAGTGTATTTTGTAAATTGTGTAATTTTTCTTTTTGATTTGATTTATTTCAAATGTGTAAAACAATAATAAAAAAATTATAATGAAATTTAACATGAGAATTATGATATCAAATCAAGTTTTATTTATATAGCACATTTATAAACGATTTTTGGTCGAGCCAAAGTGCTGTACATATAATAAAAATAGCCTATAGAGACACTTTACAGCAAATACAACAGCACAGATTGTTCAGAATATCAGTATGAGAAAAACGACACCCTCTGTCCTTAGACCCTCTGTCCTTAGACCCTCTGTCCTTAGACCCTCTGTCCTTAGACCCTCAGTCCTTAGACCCTCTGTCCTTAGACCCTCACAACGTACGAGGAAAAACTTCCAGAGAAAGAATACAAAATTAAGCAGTGTCAAATTGACATACAAAAATATTACTAATTCTAAATTATATATAAAGAAATTATCTACTTAATTACACATAACAGAAAATATTTTAAATTTTGTATCTTTATAATTTTGTAATACATGCTACTTAAAGGTGGGGTAGGTAATTCACTTCAGAAACACTTTTTGTTATATTCCATGGAATGCTCTTAACACCCCGATAGCAATGAATATATTAAATGCTTTGACAATAAATACGTACAAAAACTTCATCTGTGGAAGCCGTAGCGCTGTAAAAAGCACGACCAATCATCTGAGCCGGCCCGGCTAAAGTAACTGGATGGCCTACCTGCCTGTCAGCCTTCCATCTGGGCACAAACTTATCTCGTGCCCTCATTGGTCATGTGCGCGTTCGTGTGTGTTGGAGGAGGGGCTCTGTAAGGAAGTCTGAAGGAAGGGGCAGATTCTTTCCGGTTGTGTATTTTCAAATTCTAGCGCACTCGAGCTGGTTTCTCCATGCTGTCTTTTCTAGCTGTAGCAAACGCAAAGTTCCCCTCTGTGGGACCAATAAAGGTATTCTGATTTTCTCACCCTCATCGATGAGCGAGATCTTCCTCTTGATGGCGGCCGTCATGGCGTCTGAACACAGAGCGTACAGGTCGGCGCCGGTCATGTGATCCGGGCAGCGATCCACCACCTGCTGCAGGTCCACCGCAGAGTCCACCTGGAACCTGAACACAACATTCATTCATTTATGTGGAACACAAAATCTTCCAAAACATCCACAGAGTTGATTCAAGATTCAAAGGTCTTAATGTCATGGCACATAAACTACAGAGTACAAATGGCAATGGAAATCTTATGAGCTCCTCCAACGATGCAACATATATAAAATACAAAATGAAGTCTAGTGCAAGAAGTCTATATACACGTAAATAGAATAGAATATGATATCATTTACAAAATGTTGGCGTTCTTAAATGGATTATATTTTTTAAATATATAATGTTCTTGCGCATTGAGGGAGATTTTTTCCACTTTTTTTTGTAAATAAAGGAATAAATCAAAGGAATGGAAGTTTTGTATTTTATACTGAATTTGTATTCTCCGTTTTCTAATATATTCACCTGCACACATAATGCATTTATGACCGTGTATATATTTGATCATTTCTTGGTGAATGGCAGCCACAGGTCCTTGAAGTCCTTAAAAGTTTGGAGAACATCTTAGAAAGAAACAAGCAGTTCTTACTTTCTGAGGATGGCCTGGAGAACCTGCAGCTGGGATCCTCGGTCCTCGTTGATTCCAACATAAACCAGTTTATCAAACCTGAAGAACAAACAGACACATGTGTTTGGAACTAGAGGAAGTCAAAAGGATTGAATATGCCTGGGTTCAATGGGATCGTTATATCCTTAATGTGGGAAGCAACACGTTTATTCCAAGGTTTTACGGTACTTTAACTTCAAGAGAGACTAAAGCTTCCTGAGATCACAATAAATATTCTGCAAGGATTGAAGTTTTCTGCGTGTGTGTGACCTCTGACCTGCCGGGCCTCAGCAGCGATTGGTCGAGAAGATCCGGACGGTTTGTGGCTCCGATGACAAAAACCCCGACGGACGACTGCAGGGCGTCGAGCTCGGCCAGCAGCTGAGACACCACTCTGGACGAGAGAGTCAAACGCACTTATCATATTTGCAGCAACACACTTTCATATTCTTAAAAAGGCAAGCACGCGGCACACGGACAATCCTTTTTGTGCCGTAGAAGTCAAATGTAACAGATCGTTCGATGTGGACGCACACAGACACTGATGAAGAGAACCTTGGTTGACAAAGATACCATTTCTGGTTCCCGTTATCTCTGACTGGTGCTTTGTTGTAGCTTGCTTTGTAATCCGCTCAGGTAAACCCTCACCTGTCCATCACCCCCCCAGAGTCCCCGCTGCGCCCCCTGCTGGGAGCCAGAGAGTCCAGCTCATCGAAGAAGATCACACAGGGCGCTGCTGAGCGGGCCCTGAGGAAACACTGAACACACACACGTTCATTCGTCTCACACATTCATCAAGCTGACAAACACCAGAATGACCCTCTAAATAAAACAGACCTTCTCTGATGTTCTCTTCACTCTGACCCACGTACATGTTGATGAGCTCTGGGCCTTTCACACTGAAACACACACACTACAAATGTTAGCAGAGCACTTTAACCCTCTCTCTAACCAACATTTACTAAATATAGGCTAGGAGAATTGATTTATATAGCACATTTCAAAATGAGGCATCAAAGTGCTTTACAAAAACAACTCCTTGAAATGAATTCTGATTCAAAGAAATGGTGGTAGAAAAATGTTCAAACCCCGGAGTGTTGTCCTACCTGAGGAAGGTCATGGAGCACTCAGTGGCCACGGCTTTGGCCAGCAGGGTTTTCCCGGTCCCTGGGGGTCCGTAGAGCAGGACCCCGGTCCGGTTCAGAACCCAGAGACAGGAGCTCCGGGCGCTGCAGAGGGAGCTGCACCGTGTCCAGGATCTCCTTCTTCACCTGATGAAGACCTCCAATGTCCTCCCAGCGCACATCTGGGATCTGTCACACAACAGCAGCGCATTTAGAGGTGATTACATAATGTTGGGGAACCCATAACTTTGACCCAGTTCTTTGACATCAGTCTGCACGGCCCTCACTGAGCTCAGGCCTGTCACCTTGGCTGCTGGGCTCTCAGTGTGTGGACTCCCTGTTCCTATCTGTTGGCGTCAGCTGATAGAGGTTAGAGTGCTTTGCCTGTTCTATCTTGTTGTGCACAATGTTGATTCTTCTCAGAACTAGCTAAACACATGGGTCTGGGGTAGAGATCTAACCCTAACCCTCCGGCCGAAGCTCCAAATAAACCATCAGTGTTTGCCATCAAAGCTCCTGCTCTCCCCGTGTCTCTCTGAGTCCCGTCTCCATTGCTTCAGAAGCTTCCGTCACACATTTAAAGGCTTGTTGTGTCACCTTGGGGGCTCCGATGGCCGTGGACTGGGCCTCCTGTAGGGTCTCCAGGGCCGAGGAGAAGTCCTGGTTCAGGATGGTGACTCCACTGGAGCACAGATCCTCCTCCTGTCTGCCCCGACTATATACACACACACACACACACGTTTTATTTGTATTTACTTGCACATCTCCAAACATTCTCTTGCACTATTTTATCTGTTCTATGCCCTACATAACTGTTGGAGGATCCTGTGACCTACGTTTCTCCTTGCCATA